AAAAAAAAAAAAAAAAAGAAGAAGAAGAAGAAGAAGAAAGGAGAAGAAAGAAAAAAACACCCCTCTTTTTTTAAAATATCAGTGAAGAAAATCTGTCAACTTTGTGAGACTGTAATTTGTCAAAAGAAAGAAAAAAAAAATTTTTGAATTTTTAAAATTGTATTTAAAATTTTATTTTTTATTTTTTAAATCTTTGTTACAAGTGGTAAAAAAAGTTTTTTCTTTGCTTTTTTTTTTTTTTTTTCGATTATAAGTTATTCATTTTTAATTGTTTATTTTTTAGTTGTGAAATTTAATTTACCAAGTTTATGCTTTAATTGGTTTTCCTTTAATGAAGTAAATTGCATATCCAAATTTGTCTTTTTTTCTGGTCTTTTTTTTTTTAGTAATTAACACTTCCCAACTGTTGTTCCATATACAACTCTGGCTGCCCGGCGTTATCAGTGTTTAATAACAACCAAATTCTTGAAGGTTAACAACGGCTCATCAAATTCGGCGTACAGAAACTCAACAATTGAATGTTGTTGCCGTCACTTTTGAATTGTCGAACCTGAAAATGGTTATTTTTTGGCTGGCTAACTTCGCCTGTTCACTGTCGTATCCTCTATGTTTGTTCTGCTGTATTTGAGGATATAAAAAAAAAATACAAGATACAGAGTCACAAGAGAAAAAATTAATATAAAAAAATCAAGAAAAACAACTTCAGCAAAGCAGAAAAACCGAAAAAAAAAAATTAAGGCAACAAACGTATTGTTAAGAGTTATCCACAGCGGTATGTGTAGTGCCAAAATGATGTTTCATTAAAAGGAAGTAAAGTTTTTGAGGAAGTTTGCTGCTGTTTTTGGAATTGTTGGCCGATACAGTTTCTTTTTTTTTTTCTCTATTTCTTTTTTCTGTTAAAAAATGAACAACAGAAAAAGCTCTAAAGTTTTTGTAAACCATTATCGTATCGATGGTGTCTGATAGTTGTCATGAAATTATCGTCTAAAACAATCTCATGTTTTTTTTTTTTTATAGCATCATTAATTTTCTGCCTTTCTGTTGTACCGTTGTTTTATGTTGGTTACAAATCTTTTCCTTAACTGTTTTTTTTTTCAACCTCAAATGCTTACATCTTGTTTCTACTCACTTTCAATCTTGATTTTTTTTTTTCTGTTGTTGTTGTTGTTTAACCGAACTGGTAACTAATGAAAATATTTCAAAAATTTTTATTAACAGAAAAAAAAGTAAAAGTTTTTCTTTTTTTTTTTCTTTCAATTTACTCTTACTTTTCTTTTGTTTTTTTTTTAAATAAAAAGATTGAAATAGTGAGATGGTTATTATTGCACTAATAAAATCAAACATTGACAGTTTTTTTCCTATTATTTACATCTAGTGTTTGTGTAAGAAAATAAGATGATGAAGTTGATAGGGTAAGTGGGTATTGTTTGTATAACAACATATACATTGAACTTCCATAGTTGATTAATCATTTTGAAACAAGTATAACTT